AAACTCTGGCCAATGATTACACCATTTGTGTTGAATACAAAACGTACGGCCCATTAGTATCCGTCTCCAGAATGGGATACAGTGACACCGGAAGCCAAGAACCTAATCAACTCAATGCTGACCGTGAATCCGGCCAAACGGATAACAGCGGCCGAAGCCCTGAAGCACCCGTGGATTTGCCAACGGGAAAGAGTCGCCTCAACTCTGCACAGACAGGAGACGGTCGACTGCCTTAAGAAATTCAACGCCAGACGAAAGCTGAAGGGCGCTATACTGACCACAATGCTGGCCACTCGCAACTTTTCTAGTAAGTCCTCATCCGAACGAAGTCCCAGTCCTAACCCACCCGCCGGTGCCGATGCCGGCGCCGCCGCCGCCGCTGCCCAACACTCTGATACATAAGTCGGCGTTTTATTTAGTTATCTGTATTGTTATAATGGGTTTTGATAAACGTGTGTTAATTTAATTATAATCATGTTTGGTTTAACTCGTATTTAATTTGATTTAAAATAATGGTCACTAATATTTGCGGATGATTTTAATAAGTAATGTTAACCGTTATGTGTTTTATTTTATTATTATTTTATAAATTGAATTAGTTTTAGTCCACCTGTTTGTTTGTAGCTGTAATTATTGAGTTTATTATCATGTCTGTTTTTCTCAATTATTATAACATTAATGGTTACCATTTGAAACCCAAGAGTTTTTAAAAATACTTTAAATTAAATTTAACGAAAATTGATTGAAATTTTGATCAAATAAAAGGGCAGATGAATGACTGAAATACACTTTTAATGCGATATTATATCGTAATTATGCTAAATATTTAGGAAGGAATTTATGAGATACTAATTTGACAAAAACATTCCTTAAATAACATATTATTAGCCATATATTTAACAAATAATATCTTTATATTATTAATATTTAAAATATTTGCTCATCAAATATGTGTCCAAAAAACTGTGTCCAATGAATACAATATTGTTGTGATTGATATACAAATTAATATTCGTATTTATCTTAATTATCAATTTATGGGTAAACTATTTACCAGAAAACTAAATACACTTTATATTATATGATATAAAATATATTTCTATTTCTAAGTTAGTTAAATCTTCTATGAAATGTGATTACAAAATACAGTACAGTATTGTGTGTAATAACCCATTAACAGACTTGAAAATAAAGGCAAAAATACTAAAAGCTTGTAATTACAAGAAAAGTCAATTAAAATTCAATGTTGAAGACATTATACATACAGTGTTTACCAGAATGAGAGAGAAAATAAGTTACTTTATTTATCAATTGTCATGATTTATAGCTAATATACAGTATATAGTGTTGGAAACAAAAGCCATACTAAATGGGCTAATAATCTAATCCTTGGCTCACGTTTTTATTGCTTTTTATGCAATAATTCTTAATATTTGTTGTGATGTTTAACGCTATTAATAATGATTAATATAATCTAATATTACATTTTCACGATCGGCTCACATGAGCCGTATATTCCCAATTCAAGCCAACGTTTCACTGGTTATTGCATTTGATGAGCACATAAATACACTACACTGTATATATACACACAATATACTGTAAATGTATACACTTTGTATGTATTAATATAAAATACATATTACATAGACGATTGGTCAGTTGCCAATCAAATTCATAGCCAACTATTCTAACCATATATTAAACACATATAAAATATATCATATCTAACTATCAGGCGGTCATGCAATGCGAGTAATGAAACAAATTCTTAGCAGTATTTAAGTGTTTAATATTATGTTACAAAAAACTGCATTTATCTCATATTGATATTAGAAAATAGTTTAATTCAATTTTGCCTTTACTATACATTTATAAATGTTATATTCATATCGTATAAACATATCTAACGATTAATGATTTGATCGTAAAATATAACTTTATCGTTGATTATATACCTATCGATTTAGTATTAATTTTAATTGATTAAACATTTTGTCGCAATTATAATAGCAAAAACATAGTAAATGGTGTAATAATTTATTCCCAAAATAGAGCGAATTAAATGCAATAAGTTTTTCATATAAAAATCAATGAATTATAACTATAAATACTACAATATTTATAGTTACAAATGGCTCTCTAAATGAATGTTGAAATTTTATTATTTAATTATAGCGACTGTGAATAGTATTGTGCTTTCAGTTCACTATATGTTGATAAGAAAATCAATTATTTTGTTAGTGGAGAAAGAAATGCTAAGAATTCAACAATTGTTGGCTTAGATAGAAAATAGTGAACGAATTATAGGGAGAGAGAGAGAGAGAGAGAGAGAGAGAGAGAGAGAGAGAAGAATTCAATTCTCCGACAGTATATGTCCTCTCATTTCGTCCCTTCATTTGATTAATGACTGAATGGTTTGTTTGACTTGTTTTTTATGCCCAACAATAAGTCTCCCATTCATTGAATTTGTTTAATAAACTATTTTTACTGAATTTCACTTTTTGAGTTTGCTATTCGTATATCTCATTGTGTTTTATTTATTTAATGTAAAGCCAAATAAAAATATATACACAATAATATTCCTGCGAAACATTTGGAAATGTTTGGCAAAAACAATGCGAAATGAAAAGAGAGAAAGCCATGAGAAATGAGAGCCGAAAATCAGAATTAAGTAAAAATAAGTAAATGTTATATAAAGATAGGGAAAAGTAATTGAAGTGAAAAAATCCTATTACTCTGTGTTTCGCCATATCTTTCGAAATATAATTAACGTTTTCGTCTCACAAATCAGTTTTATTTACTACTCATTAATACCTGTTTTTCAATTAAAATCTGTTTCGTATATTCTTATTATAATACACTATCTATTCATTTATAATTAATAAATTGTGTTCACTTTTAATTAGGATTGAGTTTTGGATTCATTTTAATCTCTCAATTAATATTAGATTTTAAATAATAGATATTTTAGAAAATAATGTTCCAAGAAATAGATGGCAATTCATTAATGCAATTCTTTTGCTCTCTCTCTCTCTCTCTCTCTCTCTCTCTCTCTACTGTAAATCTATAACTATCTTAACAATTGTTTGTTTGATTCTAATTTACCTTCCAATTCAAGTAAACTATAAGTAGTTTTTTTTAAGAAAAAGGGAAGAAAGGGAGAAATTATTTGAACAAACAGACAGTCCTTTAGTTAAAAGCAAAATCTATTTCTAAGAAAATCTAATAAAAATGGAAAAATTTTGATAACTTTTGTTCATAAAAGATAACGTATTGTTGAGTGAAGACTATTGTCAATGAGATAGAAATATAAAATTACTCTGTGTTTCGCCATATCTTTCGAAATATAATTAACGTTTTCGTCTCACAAATCAGTTTTATTTACTACTCATTAATACCTGTTTTTCAATTAAAATCTGTTTCGTATATTCTTATTATAATAAACTATCCATTCATTTATAATTAATAAATTGTGTTCACTTTTAATTAGGATTGAGTTTTGGATTCATTTTAATCTCTTAATTAATATTAGATTTTAAATAATAGATATTTTAGAAAATAATGTTCCAAGAAATAGATGGCAATTCATTAATGTAATTCTTTTACTCTCTCTCTCTCTCTCTCTCTCTCTCTCTCTCTCTCTCTACTGAAAATCTATAACTATCTTAACAATTGTTTGTTTGATTCTAATTTACTTTTCAATTCAAGTAAACTATAAGTAGTTTTTTAAAGAAAAAGGGAAGAAAGGAAGAAATTATTTGAACAAACAGACAGTTCTTTAGTTAAAAGCAAAATCTATTTCTAAGAAAATCTAATAAAAATGGAAAAATTTTGATAACTTTTGTTCATAAAAGATAACGTATTGTTGAGTGAAGACTATTGTCAATGAGATAGAAATATAAAAGGAAAAGAGAGTGATAGAAATCCAAAAATAGAG